TACAATCGCATATTTGCGTTGCATAGGTAAATATTTTGAAACCCACTATCAGCTAACTAATGGAAATGTCAAGAAGGTTTTTGCTACAAAAAATAGCCAATTGTGTTGTTTCAATTTGACACTGTAGTGGTACAAAACGACTTAGATATGTTGTTAACAAAGATTAGGCGTGCAAAACTCGATGGAATAAGACAACGGCCCAAAAATTATTTTAAAACTAATCGGCTGAATTGTGTTTATGGGCAGAGGCTGAAACAATCTGTCCTCTTGTGAATTTTATAACATGGAAATAAATAAACAAATTGGGCTTAACCGCCAATTTAATAGCAGTCATTTTAAACTTGTCCATATTGATGTAATTAAATCTGCTCTCTGATTACTGAGGATACGTACGCCGAACACTAATCTTGACCTCACCGATGTTGTAAATATTTAAAGAGACACCAGTTGCTTATGCGATTGATATCTGATTTGTCACGTGGCGTGACGCAGGGAGTCCCATTGTTGGTGTTGTTTCACATATTAAAGCCTATTATGAGACTGAACTTGTTTTTGCATTTATTTATCTCGCTAATTTTACTGAAATGTATAAACGTGAATATAAGTGACCTTAACTATTCTCTTGAATAGAAAAAATACTACAAAAATGTTGCAAAAATCGTACCAAAAAATTTTGAAATATCACCAAACAGACGCGTGTTTATTAGTGTTCTTAACTATTCTCTTGAATACAAAAATATTACCCAAAATATTACAAAAATATTACAAAAATATTACCTAACCAACAGCTAACATACTTGTATAAGATAAGTTGTATAAGATAAGTTGGTTGTGTGATTGATATCTGATTTGTCACGTGGCGTGACGCAGGGAGTCCCATTGTTGGTGTTGTTTCACAAATTAAATTTAAGTCACAGGCCTATTCTGAGACTGAACTTGTTTTTGCATTTATTTGACTCATTAATTTTACTGAAATATATACACGTAGTTATGAGTGACCCTAACTATTCTTTTGAATAGAGAAAATATCACAAAAATGTTGCAAAAATAGTACAAAAACATTTAAAAAATATTACCTAACCAACACATGTTTATTAGTGAGCGCAACTATTCTCTTGAATACAAAAATATTACAAAAATATTACCTAACCAACAGAGCCAATAGCAGCACTAACATACTTATATGAGATATCTGTAAATTTTCTTGAAAATAGATGTTGTGAAATTCAAACACAAAGCAAATTTACAACAGTTTAGAAAGACCAGTGGACTCTGCCAAACAAGCTGTGTTGTCACAACGCCAGCAAAACGCTGTGAGCCAACGAACTATCTATAATTTTCACAGTTCCTCTGTTATCTGCGAAAATAAAGAAATTAAAGGAAGATCACTGCTTAAGTTGAATTGATGTAACTTTGAAATATGACAGATGCAAATTTGTTTTAATTATGATCGATATTTAGTATCTTGATCATTCTGTTGTTAGGGATTGTTTTACAGTATCACATCGAAGAAAGACTAAATATCGTGCAACGATCTCACTTGATCAAGAGAATTTCCCTTTCAAACTCCTTTATCTTAAATCTTTTGTATTTACGCTTTCAAAGGCAAGAGGTCTTAAACTAGAATTGAAAAAGCTCCATTTAAGAGTTAAAAAATTTATCTAATTGTGCTGTTGAAATTAATTTTTGGTTATATCATTGCCCTTAATCATATATAACATTAGTTTCCTAAACTGAACATATTTTCTTTTGACAACAAGTGAACCACACCGAGTTTTACAGAATCCACTGAACCGATATTTGAAAGCGATGTAAGAACCGTTTTTAGTAGTCTTACTATTGTTAGTTAAAACTTCTTGAAACAAACTTGTATTATTAAAAATGTTACATTTCGTTTTCAAAGAAGAGGAATAGAAAGTTAATTTTGTTAGAGACCTCTTGAGTGTGCGTCTCAAAAAAAGTGCAAATAATGCTACTTACCAAATCTTGTCCTGTCCATCCTCTGACTTGATAGAGACTGATACTACAGAAAGTCAAATAAATACCTGTTTATCTATAGGGGAATTGAGGAATTCTATTGAAGAACAAAGAAGGTGGTGATATGCTACCGAATGGTTTCCAAAGTGAAAAACAACAAAAATGTATCGCACATAAATTCACCGGCAGGGGAATTAAGGAATAGATTCCTTTTGAAGCTGTTTTTCTAAAGTATTAATTGTTCCGTTAATGTGACAAGGCGTTATAACGTCGAAGATATACTTGCACAAATTGGGGAAAAGTCGTCACTTAGGCTCCATTACGTTCGCTATACGTTTTTGGGAAGTTACTTGAGCATAGTGATTCAGTGTTTAATTATATTAAGTCGTTTTGGAAAAGACTTCAATTTCCAAGGAAGCATTTAAAGACATTCTACTAACCAGTGGTGCGGTGGTGTGGGAAGCAAGACTATGTGATATGTCGGATATTCTCCTCCATTTTCAGTACTGCGAAGACACCTGCGGCAGCTTAAAGCACGAAGAACTCTCCTCAACGAACGAAGAAGGCGGTAATATGCTGTCGAATGGTTTCCAAACTGAAAAACAACAGAAATGTAATTGCCGAATAGCAGATTTTAATTGGAATATAAACGGAAGCTCACTTCATTTTTGGGTGGTTTGCTTCGCTATGACGGCCAGAATGCTTCTAACTGTAAAGTGCTGAAAGTTTCTGAACCAAGAAGACCTTCACTTCGTCTTTAAGGGGTTGTATACAGAGGACCATTGCGTTGTGTTTTTGTTACGTGTACGTTTTCGTTTTCGCTATGAAAGACCAAATGGATATCTCTTGTATGGTTATGGCACATTTTCTGATACTTACAGCAGTAATTTCCATATTTTTCCCACGGGTTTATCCTCGAAACACTAGACGCAAAGCACAATGAAAGTTCTATTTGGTTTCCTTACGTCTGTTCGCCATCTTGTCTCTCTCACCTTATTCCCAATCTCTCCTCAATTACTCCCTTGCCACTCACCGAAGTATTTACATACCGATACCCAATTGTTTATTACCATAGCATGCTGTTATGCTTCAGTAATTTCAGTGATGTCAATTTCTCTGTTTGAAATGTGAGTGCAACTATAACTTGCCAGGGAAATTGAACTTTTTGTTACCAAAATTAAACACTGAAATTCTTCGCAAGTCCACTTGTTGCAAAGCCGTATCTCTATGGAATTCTCTTGACTATCATGACTTGACTATTGGGAAAACAAAATTTTTTTACATTAGTATGCCTCTGCGCGGAAATTTTACCTAACGTCCTGTAATACACATCATGTAATACAAATCCCTGCGTACCTTTTTGATGGATTTGTACGCACAGACGGTCCTCATTCTTTTTCAACGACCGCAGAAGTAAAACGAATCACATGTTTCTGCTTGCTTTAGTCTCTGATCATCTTGTCAGCATGGTGGGATCGTGCGCCAGTTGTTTAAATTTGAACCTTTCCTCCGAATGTCGTCTCTCGGACAAGATTCTTTCGTTCAAGCGTAGACGTCATTACCATGGTCCTTCTCTTGTGTCGTTTGTTATCCTGTTTTCTAATACCAAATTGTGGCTCCGTCAGTATACCAGAAGTAAATATCACGACGAAGTGCGCTCTAACCGAGTGTCATATCATGTGACTGATGGAGGTCATTGAATACCTTGAAGATTGGAGACATGCCGGATGATGTTTAACATTTGTACTGTTTTCGAAGCTTGCCTCACCACAATGGTCGTTTCACAGAGTTCATTGCTTATAAAGATCAGTGTTACAACTAGGCGTGAGCATCATTTTTGTTCATCTTCTTAGACAAACTAAGCCTAAAGGGTGCTGACGCAAGGCACAACAGCATTTTTATCTGCAAACAATGAACAATAAAGCACGTGATGTTTTTTTGACGTGTCATTGAGCCGAATCAATCAGTAGACTGATTAATCGCTGGAGCGTTTTAAAAATGTATGCTGCTGCTGCTTTATGACAGCTAAGCGTTACTGTTGGTTGCGCCCTGCGGGTTAAATGTTAGCTCTTTGTCTCCTGACAAATGCCAATCGTAATAGGAACTTATTCAAGTAAACAAGACGCTGGAAACCGAATTCCTTCGCTTGGACGCTATGGATTTTACATTCAAGTTACTTAACTGATACGTTCCATTTTTCTAAGCAGTGTGGGATTAATATTATAGTGTCTGTTCGTTAAGTGTCATATTGCGTACGTGAAAGATTTTACAGTCCGATGCGGCTGATTTTTTTTTTTTTAATTTTTAAATAGAACTGAATGAATGTTGTTTCTTCTGCTCTCTAATGAATCTGTGAAGCGTTCGAGAGGAAAGCTACCTCGTTATGGTTCCTCGTTGCGATCCTTTTCCGACAGTTTATCGATTCTTATTTCGGTAGGTGCACCACATGCTTACCCTTACTTTCGCCAAGAGGAGGGTTGGGAAATGTTAATTTGCGGAGGCAAGCAAAAACGATAGCATATAATCAAACATGAAACTGCATGAAATAATTTATCCTTTTACATTTCCGTTAGGGTTTCAAAACGTTTTGTTCACTTTAGCGTGTAGCGTCTTCGAGCATAACGGTATAGTTATCATCTCAACGCACTGAGTGCCATGATGATTCAATTTAAATATCATGTTATAGGTAAATGATATTATACGAGCAGGAAGACATCTAGAACTGGTGGTGGTGTTGTGCGAGAAACATATGTTGTTTATGAAAAAGTAACCTCAAAGTGATATTAAAATGATGATTTTGAAAAAATTATTTGAACTGATAATACGGAGAAGCTTCTTGGAGTAAACGATTTAGAATGCACATCTCAAGCATTGTATGGGAAAAAATTGAAGCCAACTGACACAAGCAAAGAGGCGTTTTATTTACAAAACAGTAACTTGCAACCAGGGTAGAATTACTCTAAAAACCTTTATAAACACCTCTATACGTGAACATCGAATTATTTAACTAGTAGTGTTTGAAGAATAGTCTTAGATTAACGACGTTTCCATGAACAAACTTCTGGATCTGTCCTGAATCAACCCCATTCTCGTGGCTTTTGTCTGTGGAAATGATATAAATATGCGTGTGTTTTTATTAGTCATTTAGGTTATATAGCTTTTTTTTCATATGATGTAGTAGGTTCAAATTGATAAATTTTTCATCTTTTTATTGAACCTCACAGGTGCCAACAGGACAACTCTTAGAAGCGAACGCATTGAAACCAGATCTCAAGCTGTTGATATTGTTGGACTCATTATCAAGATGCTCTTAAAAACGGACAGGAATTGCTTGATATTACATTGTAGTGTCCGATGTTTGCATCGTTGGGTTGAAGGTAAGGGCAGCTTAAGATCCAAGCATCCTGTAGATTAATTTTAATTTAGCAGTATACAGAGGAGATTAATTAAGGAATTTTATCTGCCTGTAAAAAGATAAAGAAGTTCGGAAATCAAAATAATTCCAGGAGGCGACCCTTCAGGTCTTGGGTGAGGAAAACCCCAGCAAAGATCCTGGGAAGAATAATGTGCTGCAAACAAGACTGGTCTTGACAACGACAGTGTGGTGTGTACCCCTCATTCTTGGCAACAACAACAGTTAGAGTGATGTTTTTTATGGTCATCTTTGCCTTAATTTCTATTGTGTCAACTTTCATCAAATAACCCACATATTCCTCTTTCTCAAGGAGAGACAAGGTTTGGTTTATGAGAATTTTTTTTGGCTCAAGAAATGACATAGCCGATAGAAACATTAAGAGGCGTAGAGGCACATACTGCATTGAATAGAAATTTGTAGAACTCTTAAAACCATTGGGCTGTGAAGTTAACCTAACAGGTTAGTGGTACCTAATACAACTACTGTTTGAGAGACTTCGGTGTGAGTTCCAATATTCTATCAACTCGTGTCCTACATTTATCTGATAGCGCATAAAAGGGTTTCCTGCTCAAAGGGCTATGACAGTACGTTAGACTGTTTTTCAAAGTGTCCCCTACCGTATCTGTTGTTGTCCTAGAATGTGTTCTCTAATAGCAGCTCCTTCGTTCTAGAAATGGATAGATCGTAATCCGAAGTTACTTTCGTTGGACTTAGTTGGAAAATCGAAAAATGAGAAAAAAAATTGTCATAGTCAGACACAGTTTAAGTAACACAGCTAAGCCATGCTCGTTTTTCGGTACTTGTTTTGGTTTTGTTAACTTGGTCTTGTATACTCACCTGGATTCTCAAAGTGGAGACGTCTTGTGGGAAGTTCCTAGGTAAAAAAGTAGTTGTACGACTTAAAGTTAGAATTAAGCGCAGAGGAAATGTCTATGACTACTAATGAATATTTCAGTGCTTTTTAATCTTTGCCTCTATGGTTCAGCTGATATTTCATTTGATGATTATTAAAATATAGACAAGCACTTCATGGCATTCCTTGTACCAAACAAACGATGATTGTTAACTATGTGATTTGGTTATTGCCTCACCATGGAGAAAGATGTGAACTATCCATAAGAATGAGCTTGTTGCTTTTGCTTTATTGACTGGAATAGGTCCCTCTAGAATTCATTATTCAAGGTAATCCTTATAACGTGGTCTGTTATCACTTAGGGAATATTCTCCAAGAAGGCGTGACACAAAATACGATAAGCAACTAAAAAAATCAGTATATCTTCGTGACGTAGCGCTCGGACACAGAAAACATAACTGAGGACTTGATTCATACAGAATATCCTGTATGTCGAAAGTTCCCTAACCTCATTTGCTGCTGGGGAAGTATGTATCTTCTTATTGTGGCTGCTCCGTCCTAGGTACAAAAAATATTTCAATCGTTTATCAGATTGTGTAGATACTGCTGAGGCAGGGATGTAAATAACAGCTGGAAGGCGGGAAAATTACCCGGCTGTGAACGCGATTTTTCCGGCTGTGAAGCAGTACTTCGTTCTCCAAAATGTTTTTAAATGTTGTCAGAAGATTGTTATTTATTTATTTCATTTGTTTACACCTTCAAATCTAGGTATAGCGTGCCAAAGGCACGCTAGAGTGGGCCTTCGGCCCATATACCCGCCTATCATTGCAAGATTCCCGCCTGTTAAAAACTTTAGCTACATCCCTGCTGAGGAAATCATTTATTTGTAATGTGCTTTTGATTGCACCTCTGTTATGAGCTCAAAGATGTGTAGATCACAACACTGAAAACTATGAGTTTAACTCAGTTATTAGGGTCATGATTGCCAACATCGCTATCACACTATCATACTTACGTGGACTGTTAGAATGGAGACATCTGAATGGTTCCTGGAAAAGTATTACAAAAGAGTATTAGCTTTCGTTTTGTTCAGGAGTTGCGTAGAGTAATAGTGAATGAGATTAGCTTTGAAATGTTCTATTCAAATTATGTTCACTTTGTTGTCTCGAATAGTGGTTTCGAAAGAACACAAACTCGCCGTGGTTCTATGACATCAATACATCATGAAATATTGTATTATTGGATGCAGAACGTATAGTGGGTCAAACTTTCCAAAAATATGAAAACTTTTGCTGCAGCAGATAACCACGAAACCTTCTACGAGGCTCTGAAAGCCATCTAAAGGTTACACTCCCAGTCACAGAACCCACTCAGCAGTATGGACGGTCAAGACGTTTTACCAGACAGCACTGCCATCCTGAAGTGCTGTTCACTTCATCCCACGTACTCCATGTAAATAATACTGCGATTGATACCCGCCACATGGTTGCCTTAGTTCACTGAAGAGTCAGGGAAAATAAGTTTCTTCAGAGTCAAGGCAAAGTCAGAGAATTTCAATTCGAGTTAGCGGAATTTACATCTGTGATAGAAGTCAGGAAAAAGTGCAGTTTCAAGGAAATAGGAAGTCTTTCATCTTGTCCTGGCTCTGTTCCTGATAGCAGATGGCGATACTTTCCTTTCATGATGTCATGTCATAGAATTTCAACTACCTAAGTCTGAGGTAACTATCACAGAGGATCACCTTTCCCTTCAGTGCTGGGAAGATCCTCACAAGACTGCCACTCAGTCACCTAATGCCAAATACTGCAGAACACCACCAAACTTTCATACGATGCAGCTTTTAAATAAACAAAGACACCAAGGAAAGTGTAGGGAACAACAGAGGGGGTTACACGTCACCTTATAGGGCTTCACCAAAGCTTTTGATGATATGGTCTGAAAAATGGTCTGTGGAGAATCTTACAGCGAATTGGATGTCCTCAAAATTACTTGACCATCATTACTGGCTATACAGCAACCATTAAGAGTATTGAATTAAACAGTACTCTATGCGGGCCACGATTTTTTCCCTCTATATCATACCAATTGGAACATTTTCTCCTACAACTCCTCCAAGCCTTCACTGAAACTCCCCTGTTGGTGGTAAGAAAAGGTTTCTTTGAAGACAATGCTGTTTTTTTGGCAATTTTTCTTAATGAGACATAGCAAAGAAACCTTACACCCCACCGATTGTTTTGCTGAGGCGGCAAAGCTTCTTGGTTTAGAGATCAGCCTTTAAAAGGTGAAAGTGCTCCATTGCCAGCCTTCCCCCTCTCTCACGAAATCATCTCAGTTTGACCTGATAGCCGCACAGCAGTTCTTAGCTGCACCATGGTGACCCAAGTAAAAAAAACAACAACAACAACAACAAGCAAAAGAAGTGGATAACAAGCTGGTAAAAACCGCCACTGTCTCATCTACTTTCAGAAAGGATCTGGGAAAACAATGATCTCAGAGCAAGCACGAGTATTGACCTTTTCTGTCAAGCTTTTCTCAACATCCCTTTTGAATAGTTCTACCAAGAATGCCTCAGGACCATTTTTGGTTTCCATTGTCACCGCAACAATGACCGCGCCAAGCCACTCAGCTTGAAAGCCACGGTTGCGAGAGTACAGCTGTACTGAAAGGACCACAATGTAACATTGGAGGAAAGCGAACTGTCTAAAACCACCCTTCACAGTGAGCTAGCTTGAAGGAAGCGCAGCATAAGTACCCTTACAAAATGCTGGAAGGATACCCTCAAGCAAACACCAAGCAACATCAGAAGCTGCAACTCACTGTGCATCGTAGAGTCATAAGATCCTTGACAAGGAAATTGACATAGGAGGAAGAACTGACTCACTCCAAACAACCCGAACAGTCTTACAACTGTGTCCTTTACCAAGGACAAAGTCTGTCACATCGAGCCCAGCATCCACATGCGAGCCTCCAAGCAATTAAATCCCTTCCTTTACTAAATCTTTGTATGTGAAATCTGGCCAAGATTATTATCATTGGTATCATTTGTGTCTCTCTCAGAGATAGTCTCACCTAAACAGTTGTGGCTGCCTTTGTTGCACGTGTCGCCTAATAAGAGCTGTTCCCTCCTATGAAGAAGAAAGATATGTTTTATCCTTGATTTATTAACTTTGTGCTGAAATTGTTGAAAATTTTTCGGAAAATGAGGCACTTCCTTCGAAAAGAAAAAATTTAATAATAGAAGGGAAAGGGATTTAGCATGTTTACCTGAACGGTTAAAAGAGAGACAGCAGTACAATCCCTGAAAAAAAAGAAGAGTATTAAAGCAATTGATAGAGAAACAAATGAGGGCTTTTACCTACAAACAGAATATGATTAATCAGATCTTTGGTTAGTTTATCCCACTGAAGATAGCTTCCAGGACATCTGTGGTTTCCTTTTTTTCAAACTTGCCAGTATTTCAGTATGCTGTGATGTCTAAAAAACTGTTGTTGCATGGAAACTGTGCAAGATACACAAGGGTTACGAAAGGTCTTGTAACCTTTAGTTGAACCTATCTCCCAGAAATTTTTAAAGCTGGCCTAATAGGCCTGTGCTTCTGAGCGCAATTCCGAAACTTCTTCTGTTAAACAAAACTTGCCAATTAAATTACTGCAGCATGCATGATTCTCTACTCGCAGTCTCCTTACCTCATCTGTTGTTGTCCATGAATGTGTCCTCTGATGGCAGCTGCTTCATTCTAGAAAGAGATAAATTGTATAATATCAATACTCTAGTCTTAGTTAAGTTTAGTTGTATAAAGAGACTTTTCCAGACTGGGCAGCTTTTTCTGAGATGTGAGGGTTAACTCGAAAATGATGAATAATTTTAACTATTTACCGATTTCAGTTGAGCTGTTATTGACCAACTTTCTGTGGGTTGAGGATGGGACGAGTATTGGTTTCGATTTCACTCTCTCGAGGAGTGTAAAGAAGTTAACACGGCAAGGAACTGCATCAGCGTGAGATTAGCTGAACCAAAGGTTTTTTGAAAAGTAATAGATATATACAATGCTATCAACAAATGATTTTTGAATACTCACGTGCACTTCAAAATCGGAGACGTGACAGTAGTTCCTGGAAAAATACCAAAGAACCGGTTAAGTTTTCATGTTAAATATGAATTTTGAAAAGGAAAGATTAAGGAGTTTGATGTGGCATCTTTTCTTCGAACTCCGCCTTTTTTAACCTTGCTGATTGTGTTGCCGAGTGTAAATGCTGAATTGACTTCTAGTAGTCTTGCTCTATCAGTCAGTTTAGGTTAAGGATAACACCTTATTTAGTAGTTGGTAATAGAAGTACATCTTGCAGACAACATAAAACCACTAGTTATTTCTTCTTTGCTGTGGAATTTTAACGAAATACCATATACAAGTACCAATTGAGGTTGTTTGATATTTTCGTACCTACAATTCCGTTCTGCAAGCACAAGCCGTCTGGGAACAGGGGCACAATCCTAGAGTCAAGACAGAAGTCTCTCAGTCTTAATAAAAGGGTGCATCTTGGAGGTTACAAGAAAACAGATTTTAACGATTCTATGTTGGAAATTGAGAGGCAGCAAGCTATTCAATTTATAATGTGGAATAACCGTGTTTGGTTCACAGGGTAGTTTATTTTCTTATCAGTGTCATTATTGAGCAATTGTTTGATACTCACATGTTCACTTGAAGTAGAGACGTGATATTGGGCCCTGAAAAAATATCAGAGAAAGTGGTTAACATTGTGTATGACGTTATATTGGGCTTAGCTTTTTGAGTAGGTGAGATTTATAAGCAAACAGAAATTGTCATCAATGCTGCGTGGGTACTGGTCGAATGGTCGTGCTCTCTGGAATTAAGTTCAACAAACATTTGTCAGCTCTGACCACACAGTAGCAAAGGCAAGTGTTATGTGAAACTGACTTACTCATATCTGGGCTGGGAGATTTGTTGAAGCGCGTGTCTTCTAATGGCAGAAATCTCCCTCTGGTAGGAAAAAGACCATTTCAGTGATTAGGGTTTACAGCCGTTTAACGCTTCAAATTAACAATGTCAAGGTTAGTTGCAAAAGTCAAGGGTAGACCAGGGAGTTGCTGACAGTTTTTTTGTTTAATACTCACAAGGAGGTTGGAAATCCAGAGTTGGCTCCTAGCAAGACAAAATATTCACTGTTAGTGTTGTGAAGATACATGCTTACAACAGTTTTAGGCCTTCGTACCTCATGGAAATGCTTATTTACTACTTTTTTCAATATGCTTTGTTTATGTCATTTGGAACCCACAACCGATTAATCTGTGTTTGTACTGAAGATTAACCTAGAAAGATGGCTGTCCAAAGCAAGAGGTCAATAAAACCTTCTCTCTTACATTTCGTTATCGAAATGGTAGCAGCCATATTGTAAAGGCTGATTAGAAAAAAGCAACGTGTCAACCACTCTAGCTAATAATGGCTGCTTTTGCGTTTGTTTATGAACCCCCTTTCTACCTCATGACAAGCTGCTCCATCGGCAGGTGCTCTCTTTCTTCTCTGGCCTCGTACTTCTGTTAAAAATAAACAATTAGTCTTTAAAGACGTTCTTCGACAAAAGCGTGTGAGTCACAAGCTCATGATTAGGATTGAAAGTGGGTTTTAAATTCAAATTCGTCGTCGTCTTACCTCAGCATTTTGGCCGTCGAAAACATCTACACTTTCCGGCATTTTCGCGGTCTATTGTACTGGGATTTAAGGAAAGCAAAACACTATGATGGTTTGAAAAATCGAAGAAGTGTCGTATCGTGTTTCTGAAAAACAAAAATAACACAAAATGTCTGTTTAAATTTTCACCACACTTTCAAAGAATGCTGGGTACCCTAATCACGTGTTTCGTTACCTTAATCGATGTTAGAGCGGTTCTGTCGCTTAGAGACATCTCAAAGGCGAAGATTGACTTCGGTCGTTGGCCTCTTTGTATTAAAATCACAGATCACTCTAGGTGGATAGTCCTGGAATGTCGTTAGTTTAACAACGTCTCTTAGAAATCATGTCGGGTATTCCTTAAAGAGGCTGACAGAGGTGTCTTTCCTTACTTGTCTTTGAAGATTTTTAAAAATTGCCAAGATCGCTTGGTTGGCGTCTAGGTCATGGCTTGTTCCCCTGAGACGCGAATGTTGCTCTTTTCCTGGATCCATTTTCATCAGCATCAATACTAGACAAAACTCGCTTATTCTCGTTTCCATCCTTCTTCTGCAATGCACGTTAGAGCGGGAGAAGTTAGGAATTATTAGCCGATGCGATGTGATAAGGGCAAAATCAAATAGGAACTGTTAGCGCAACAGGATGCTCAATTGACGGTCTGGTTGAGTTTGGAATTTGATCACGGTGGGGTCTTATGATGATTCATTGTTTTTTAGGTGATGAGGTCACATCCTAGCGGAAAGATTGACAAGGATAATACTAGAAGTCTGTGTTTACACAAGAACAACACAGCGTTGTTTTCCTTCTCTGAAATCTTAAGCTAGGAATTAAGAGTTTGTGACCTCAAAGTGAAATACATCGGTTTCCAGGCCTCACTTCAATGGTTGAATACTGAGTCATAAACGAAATGTATGAATAACAGCCTAGTCATACCCTTCACATTCGGTCTTGCATGAGTGCTTCACCTTGACCGTTTCTAAGACTGACGCTGCTAAAGCAATTATTTGACATATCAGCACGCTTGAAACTAACGACCGGACGTGCATGGTAACCTATGTTCGCTACTTAAAAATATCTCTTTGTCGGCAGTGAAAGGGAATTTTGTGGTCGCGTCGCATTACAGAGGCGTCTGTGCGTGTCATTAGAATTTCTGTCTTGACTTAGTAAATCTGTTTTGAGAAAAATTGTGATCCTTTCATCTCTTATTGACCTATAGCTTTGAATTCTTTTTCTTAATTGAAAATTAAGAAACAAGTGTGTGTCATGAAAGTGAGACCATGAAGAGTTTGGTCACGTCTAACTAGTCGTTCTTCATCATAGGTTAATTAAAGACGAAAGTTATGCTCTTCCTAATGGTTTATCTAGAAGTTGATAGACGGCTGCTTCGGGGATGGGTCATGGCCTCTTGCGATGGGTAGTTCAGTGATTTGCGCTCAAGGGAACGAACGGGTTGGATGTCAATACGGAGAAATGGACAATATGTGGAAATATGGAGAAATGGACAATATGTAGGTGGAGAAACGAAGTAACGAGAAAGCGCTTCCACCACTAAATTCGGAAATCGGCTCGGGTCAATAAGTTGGTCAACTCGAAATAAAATCGCTTGCTACATAAATCTGTTAGCATTGCCAAAGATAAGAACAACCAGCTTTATTTCCCCACCCAAGCATCTTCCCCCAATTAACTCCTTTCAATCGCTCCCAGTTATTCAACCCGATTAAAGGCCCTGTGTTCCAGTGAGTGCAGTTAAAGATGGTTTGAAAAGCATGCACTTTTGTAATAGATTTAAGGATGACTTGCTCATTAACGAGCGCAGGTGCGAAGCGCTCGTTTAAGCATTGAACACCTTCGTAAATCTTGAAGAGATTTTGATAACTTCTGTTGGATTGACCACTTTAACCTATAAAACCCCATTTAAGTTAACACAGGCCGTGTTTGATCATGGCGTGAAACTTTTTCGTTCCCATTTGTTCCGTTTGACAGAGGTGAAAGCATAGACTCATTCCTTATTTGTTGCATAACTTCCTGTGGCCCACCACACTTTTGTTTTTGGTTAGGGTGTGCCGAAAGGGCCAGGCTTAAGAAGGTGATTCAGTCCCATAAATAAGCCCAGATCAAAATGGATGTGATATTGCATTTGCATAATATTAACTTTTTTAACGTTCCGTCTGTTTGCAGTCTACTACTACAAGGAGACAGATTAGAGTCAAGAAAACCGTCTCTCGTGGAACCCATTTTATGGAAACATTCCATGCTAGCTAAGGTACAATGCAGCTTGTTACTCAGCCTACACTAATGTTTATGCTATTTCACACGTGACATTTCTAAGCTTTAGAGAATGTTGAGTGTAATACACATTATATCCCGATGTATTTTACGGTTATAGGATTGAATAGTCTTCAATTATACAAGTGATTAACGAACGGCCGCGAGGCGGGAGTTCGTTTTGATTAATCAAGGGAACATTAGATCGCAGACAGAAATTGACATTACCAAGACCTAATACCAATTAGTCAAAACTATGAGTTTCCAAAACGCTTAAAATTATTGAACATTAATAAAAACAAAATAAGGACGGTTTTTTCAAACTTAAAATAAACCAAATCATCTTGGCAACTGCGAAGTAAATGGCACCCATTGTCTTACTACTTAGGCATGATGGGTCAGTGTCACATTTCTCTTTTCAATTACAAACATGACGCGTAAGTTTTTACTATTGGTGCTTTAATGGAGCCGAGATTTGATAACCAATCCTCTTTGGGGGTTTGGATACAATTTTGATCAATGTTATAAACACAAGGTGCCGTAACTTGATGCCCCGATAAAACTGGAGCGAAATAAGGATACATAATTTTTGCGGTTTTTTATTTCTTTATCGGACAAGATTGCTGGAACTTAATGATTACCACGCATAGATAGCTTAAGAACAATGACAATGATTTAAGCATGGTTTTGATTCTGATAGAGAATTTTTGCAGGTTAGCAGGGAGCTTATAATCAACTTTATTGGTTATTAGCCTATGTTTTAAGACAGGTAGTTTATTCCTCTTCCTTTATTTATGTATGATTCTAAAAACAACGTTTTGAAATCTGTATACGAGATTGGTTGTGCTGCGTCGGCGACTTTGCGAAATACTTTATCGGAACGTAAAGTTTCGAGCGTCGGCCTTTCCCAATTGCTACGGCAATTTATCACGTATATCAGCATATAGTTAATAATCAACTAACTCAATCCGTGCAAGCAAGTAATAATCAATCCTACATGCCATTCACGTCGGTTAGGGTGATGCGAAGTGAAGAAAATCAAGACTCTACGACACAGCTCTATTGTCACTCAGTGTGATGTTTAAAGACTTGCCTGTGAACTTATGATCAATATCTCCTGCAATCTTAGAATAGATTGTTCCCCCCCCCCTCCTTCTTCCTAAGGTTTGCGTGGTGCTTTTGTAGACCAATTTGTTAGTTAAGCGGCGGGACTTTTCATCCTCTTTATATAATGGGTCCCGCTGTGCGTCAGTAGTTTTCAGGAAACTACATGCCTGTGGTGTAGAGAAGCTTCCTTTTCATGAAAAATATCCAACTGGTTGTTCACTAAGCACTTAGATGCCTCGCTGGGTGTTAAGTCTCTTGTGGTTTCTGTGGTGCAGTCTTTGGCTTAACCCAAAGAATTAATTCAAAGAGTTATGTGTGTTTGCGATGGTAAATTTTACAATTTTTCTCGATCACTATGAATGTAGTGTGGACATGTATGCTCGATGTAACTTGCTCTGTTAAGCGACGCGTGTTGATAGATGTGTAACTTGATTTATGACAAGTAATGAAAAATATTGCAACGAGAAACAAGGTCATTTTCGGCAATTATAACTTGCCCCCCCCCCCTCCCCCCACGATGAATGTCAATCTATTTTTCATTATATGGTGTTGGCTTAGATCATTAATTTTTAACAGAGCTGTTGGTGGTTTGAATGTTGTTGGCAGCTTTCTACGCCACCACGAGCCGAGATTGTTATAGTGTTGTGTACGTAAGGTTTCCAATCCTAGGTTTGTAGTGTGATGATGTTTCTGCTTGTTCTTAAAACCTCTCCAAATAGAGGTTAGCAATAACAGCGGAAACCGGACTTCCCACAGCTGCCCGTTCTGTCTCTTCGTAAATTGATGCATTGTATCAGAGGTACGTAGATCTCCATACGAAGTTCAGGAGGTCCTTGATATGACTAGGTGTTAGTGTCGTGCTGATGGGTAGGCTAGGGTCGTTCTCCAATTTCTGCCGGGTATATTGTCTTTATGAATCTTCGGTAGATCGTAGATTCTAGGCGACTGTTTGTGTCGTGGTCTGATCTAGTTGTAGATGGCCTCTGATAGATGTCCGCTTCGTTTCAAGGTTAGCAGTTTCTCAGACACTTTCCTAGTCAGACGTTCTGTCGAAACTTTGTTCAAGCGCTGATACGGTCCATTTTCAATCAGAGAGGAAATCTTGGCCTAATAGGAGTCGGCGTATAAGACTACGTGAGCACGTCTTTTGTCTGCTGGAAGTACCTTGATGGATTGGTCCTGCATTTCTTTCGTGGTGTTAGGCTCCGGTGGTTTTGTCTATTGAAGGATTCCGTAAACAGTTCTCCTGACAGTGTCTGCTTATTCGGGATCGAGTGGTCTGATCGCTGAATCAACCTTGGCAGTAATTTCAGTAGCAGGTCGTTGTCAGGAGTAAGCAAAGTTTAGGCCTTTCTTTATTTTCTATACTCTCTTTTAAGAGTGCAATTTAAAAACTGTAACTAAGAACCTTTACCTCTCTCAGTTCGAACCTTTACCACTCTTACTGAGCACGTCAAGCTCTTTCTACCTGCTCTTTCAGGCATTAAATATTGCTTACTTAATGAGGGCCGTGTGTTATGAAAGGGACGATATATACCAACCAGTAAAATAGGCGCTGTTCGTCACGCAGTTTTTATGGGGGTAAGAAATCTTTTATATTCTTCAGCTTATTGAGTATGAGCTTATCAAATTTTCGCACCTCGTTAGCATGCACCTCCCCCACAAAATTTCTTTAAAATTTTCAGAAAGCTTTGTCTGAGTCGGATTATCGCACTTTAAATTTTTATTTTACCGTTTGACGCATGACTCGAAGCTCATCTGTTTTCGTAGTTGCCATTTAACGACCTTCAATTTTGAAATGGTTGCCACTAATAAACTATAGCTACCTGAAGACAAAAATGGGAAAGGGACAATTTTAGCGTTCTTGAAACCTCCCCAAGTGATACCTAATTATATTTATGAAAATTGTATTCAAAGTTCCCTCCACATTCGTTTCTTAAAGGGAAAAAAATAACATAACTCAACCGAGATTTGTTGTAGGGAGAATTTTTGGATAATACCAGCCTATCGTTATATCAGTCTGTTATTTATTAGAAACGAAAACGTTTTTGCATTACCATGAAAATTTTCTTAAACTCCAATTGTGTTTATGAACCTTCCCCTTAAAAAATTTATTTACTTTATAGCGTAAGACCTTCGAGGACGGGGTCCTACTTGCGTTTTCATTGTGTGCATAGAGTTCTTTTCTGGCGATATTATACTTCTTGTATAAACAGACTCCGAATGATGTAGACAATGATAATCGACACATTCGTTGGTTGAGTGTTACTTTATTCTCAAAGAAATTCGCCGTGAGTTGACCAACATCATCA